TATTTCTCTTGTTGTTCGAAGGAAGGGTTGTTTCCTTCGAAGGTTCGTTGAGGTTCGTGTGACTCGAATTCTCAAGTTGTACGGGTTTGTTAAGCACCGTTAAGCTTAACGAGATAGTAGTGTAGCTCGAGAGAGTCTCTCGGGAGGCTGGATTAGCCACAAGTTGTGGTGAACCAGGGTAAAATCGGTGTGCCTCTTTACTTCTCGTTTATTCATTTTTTATTCCTACGATTTCTTGATCAAACGCTATTCACCCCCCTCTAGCATTGGTCTTTTATTCTAACAATTGGTATCGGAGCCTAACTCGCGTCCAAACTTAACCGTTTGAGAGTAAAGCGATCATGGGCTCTTCTTCTAGAAATCTCTATGCAGGAATTGGATAAGGTCGGCCACCACTCTTTGATGGCACCAACTACTCTTATTGGAAGGAACGGATGAGAATCTATATTCGTTCCACCAACTTCCAATTGTGGTTGGTGATCGAAAATGGCGAAGAAATCCCTATGAAGAAAGTGGGAGAAACCACGGTTCCAAAGACCGAAAACGAATTTGATGCCGAGGACATTAAGAAGATTGAAAACTATGCAAAGGCCATCAACATACTATATTGCACGGTCAACCCCGATGACTACCGAAAGCTCCTGTTGCACAACCGCCAAGGAGATGTGGGACAAGCTTGAAGTGACGTACGAAGGTACCGATCAAGTTCGTGAAGCCAAGATCGATTTTCTCACCCAAGAGTATGAAATGTTCCGAATGAAAGAAGGTGAGAAAATCGATGACATGTTCGACCGGTTCTCAAAGATCATCAACGATCTTCATACTCTCAAAAAGACTTACACCAACAAGGATCTTGTGAGGAAAATCCTGCGGAGTCTCACACCCGAATGGAGGTCAAAAGCCGATGCAATCTACGAGTCCATTGGAGTCTCCAACGTCACCATCGACAGGCTAAGAGGTAACCTTAAAACCTATGAATCTACTATTCTAACCCCGTCTTTGGATGAACAAAAGAAAAAGGGGATAGCTCTCAAAGCCACCAAGGAACTGGTGGAAGAGGCTTCAAGCGATGACGACAATGAATTCGGGCTCGTCATCAAGAAGTTCCACAAGTTCATGAAGAAGGAATTTGAGCGGAAGGGAAGGAAGCACGACGGTCCTCCCAAGTGCTACGGCTATGGCGAGATTGGCCACATCAAGCCAAGGTGTCCAAAGGCCAAACACGGCAAGGACAAGCCTGGCTTCAAGAAGCAAAGGGCCTACATCTCTTGGGGTGGCGATTCCGGCGACGAATCAACCGACCAAGAGGAGGACGAAGCTGCAAATCTCTACCTTATGGCGCACGAAGATCAAAGCGGCGACGTCCAAGAGGTATGTAACATTTCTTCCGACTCTTATACTTTTGAAGAAATGCAAGAAGCACTTCATGAACTTTATGAGGAATTTGTTAGCGCTTCTAAAACAAATAAATCTTTGAAGAAACGACTTTCTTTACATGAAAACGACTGAAAAATTGGAAAAAGAAAATTAAATACTTAAACAAGAAAACAATTTTTTTGGAAAAAGAAGCGCTGACAAACCTGAAAGCTCATCAAGTGAATGTGGGTCTTGTAACGCTTTAAAAGAGCAAGTTGCTAAACTTGAGAGCACGGTCAAGAAATTTAATACTCCTCATAAAGACTTAAATTTACTTCTTGACACTATGCATTTTTCTAAGGAAGGAATAGGTTTTGATAAAAGTAAAGCTAAAGATAATGTTGAGCCACCACCTAGACAATCATCTAAGGTTCAACATAAGAAACCTAAAAATCAAGATAATAGAAAACCTAGTCAACCTAAGGACACTAGACAACCTAGACTAAAACCTAGGAATGAAAACGGTCATGGTAGACAACCTAAGAAAAATGATTTTGTGCATAAAAATGAATTTTCTCAAATAAGAAGAAATAATGCTAGAACACCTAGAAGAGGCCAGTTTCAAAATTTCCAAAAACCATCATTTTCACAAAATAGGAACAAAATGGTTAAACCTTCTAACTATTATGAACCTAGGCACATGTACAACCCCAATGTAGTTTGCCATTATTGTAATAGGATAGGCCATATTGCTCCCGTTTGTTACACTAGGCATAGGCACCTNTCACAAAATCAAGCACACTACCATCACACACCTAACACCCGAGGACCCAACGTAAATTGGGTACCTAAAACTCATTGATGTGTTTCATAGGTGTGCTTGAAGGCATCAAGTGTACTTTGGTACCTTGATAGCGGATGCTCCAAGCACATGACCAGGGATGCATCCAAGTTTCTCCAAATCAAACCCGCTAAAGGAGGAAACGTAGTTTTTGGAGATAACAGCAAGGGAAAGATCATTGGCATTGGTTCAGTAGGTAAATCTGAAAACTCCTCTATAGATAATGTCTTGCTTGTTAAAGGTCTCAAACACAATCTCTTGAGCATAAGCCAATTATGTGACAAGGGAAACCGTGTGACCTTCGATTCAAAATCATGCACAGTAGAACGCCTTAGTGACAATAAGGTCATTCTACGTGGTGATAGAATCGATAACATTTATATGGTTAACTTAGACAAATCTCCCTTCGGCTTTGCTAAGTGCCTCATGAGTAAAGAGGAAGACACTTGGTTATGGCACCGAAGGGTAGCTCATATGAACATGAGCCTTTTGAATAAATTGGTATCACAAGACTTAGTAATTGGCATTCCAAAACTTAAGTTTGAAAAAGACACCATATGTGTTGCGTGTCAAAAGGGGAAGCAAGTTCGGGCTTCGTTTAAGTCTAAGAACGTTGTTTCAACGTCTAGACCGCTTCAACTTTTGCACATGGATCTCTTTGGTCCTTCTAGAACGAAAAGTTTTGGTGGCAACTACTTTGCATTTGTGATTGTCGATGACTACTCTAGGTTTACATGGACCTTGTTTCTTACTCATAAAAGTGAAGCATTTCATGTTTTCAAAAATTTTCTAAAGAAAGTTCAAATTGAAAAAGATACAACCATAGTAGCCATAAGAAGCGACCATGGGGGAGAGTTCAAACGAAATCTGTTTTCAGATTTGTGTGACGAACTTGGCATTGATCATAACTTCTCAGCCCCACGTACACCACAACAAAATGGAGTGGTGGAACGTAAAAATAGATGTCTCGAAGAGATGGCTAGAACTATGATCAATGAGGCAAAAATCCCTAAGTATTTTTGGGCGGATGCCGTGAGTACCGCGAGCTACGTGTTAAACCGAGCCGTCATTCGACCGATACTCATGAAAACGCCCTATGAA